AGACAAAACAAAATGCATGGCTCACTACTATCAGCAATCCCTAATCCAACCCACCAAAGAGTGCTTTGAATGAGATGTGGACAGCAGGAAAAGCAGCAGCATGTGCAGGGGATCCTGCTCTCCTATTCCTTGTGCATTCACAGAATCACAGAATGGCCAGGGTTGGAAGGGTCTCAAGAATCATGAATCTCCAATTCCCCTGCCACATGCAGGGCCACCAACATCCCTGTTTAATACTATACTAGGCTGCCCATGGTCCCATCCAACCTGGCCTTGAACACCTCTAGGGACTGGGTTCTCTGTCTTCCATTCCCACTCCTGAGCTCTCAAGCATGCTGCTCTGCTCCCATCCACCCAGTGCCAGTCTCAGTCATAGAGGTATTGAGGGAAGCATCACCTGCTTAGCTTCCTGCACCCACTGGGTTCAACACTGAATTGTATTCACAGATACCTGCAGACAAACAGTAATGCTGTGCAAGCACAGCAGAGTGTGTGTTTGTCCCCAGCCCTTCTGGCCAAGTCTATTACAGCACCTGAGGCAGGATCGTGCCCCAGCACCAAAGAAGTATCCCTGATCTCTGTGACAGGATGGGTTTGGGGACAGCTCTCTGCTGCTCTCAAGGCTCTGTGCTTCCTCCCTTCCTCTCAGAGCCCGCTGTATTAACAGGGGAGAAGATCCATCTGTGCATTACCTTGACATGAGCTGCAAAGGCAGAGACAAACCCAGAGCTGCACCCTTCCTAACACAGTGATTTCTTCCACCATGAGCAGCCTGGAGGTGCTGAAGTGAGAAAAAAAAGCTATGGGAAAACATACTGACTGTTTTCAAAATTAAAAACAAACAAAGTAATGAGAAGCACTGCAGGAGAATCCACTGGTAGGAAGGACTTCTGCTCTTCTTTTTAATGTAAGCAGTTTTATCATTAATTGCTATTTACTGCGAATGTTGGAGCTGGTAAAAAAAAGCTAATACCCTGCACTGAAGTAGCAATCTTTATTCAGGTGTCTGAAAGAACAGTATGTATGTGCATGCATGGATACGTGCACTTGCATACCTCCTTGTGCACACTGTGTAAGCAAAAACCCCGCATCTGTGTGCAGGAGAGGGAAAAAGGTACCATCAACACATTCTTCCCTTATATATTCCAGCAAAAGGCTAACTTCATTAGCGGTCTTAGGTAATGAGAAGATAAGTAAATGCAGGTCAGACTACTAAACACAGAGGCATTTTGCTGAGGTGGTAGGGAGTCAGATGCAAACCGGAGCTGCTTTTGCCCAGCACTGGAAATTTAAACGACTCAGCACTGCTTAACACCAGTCTTTGGGGGACTATATTTCCTGAGGACACAGGTTGCTGAATTCTTCAAAAAATCCAGATTTTTTCCTCATGCCAAATGTGGAGCCGAGTTCCCTGAGTGGTTCATATTCACTGTGTGAGCCGGAGGGCTTGGAACCGCAGCTTCAACTGAAGAAATTCAGCTCCTGTGTACGGAAACGCACGCATTTAAAAAGCTCTTCTGGAAGATACCAACCTAAGTGACCTGCCCAAGGTCATATATAACACGTCGGTGACAGCATCAGAATTGAACCATCTTGCCACGGCGCTGCTTTATTCACACAGCTCTGTTGCATCCCAAAACAGCCGCTGCTCCCGGTCTGCTGCTGCCTTCCACTCCTTATCACAGTCTCCTTAGAGACACATCTGTCCTGTGCTCCGTAAACCATAATATACCCATAGTCTTTTATTCACTATCCGTCACTTTGCAGTTTTATTGCAGATCCCTGAGTTATCCAGCCTAGCTTACAATCTGCTTATTCCTGCCAGCCATTCTCCCTTCCAACCCGCACCTCACGTTTCAGTCTTGTCAATGTTTTAAGCCTTTCAGGTACTTGAAATGCAGGGACAATTCTCATTCCCTGGGGCAAATCCAGCAGAATTTCACCAAAGCCAACCTGCTGGTTCCTTTCTACCTTTTCTCTATTTTTAATGCAAATGGTTGGAAACCAGAACGTAGCACCAGTCTCTGCAGTCACATTCAAACCAGTCCTTCAAGAATACTAACTCACAACTGCCATTTTAAAGCTCTGATTCCAATTCGTGCTGTCTTTAAATTTTACTTTCTCCCTATTTTCTGCTCCCTTCATCGGAAATCAATCTTCCAATAACGCAGGTAAACTGCAATCCAACCCACAGCTACTTTTCGGCTTGCATCTTTCTCATGCATTTTGCAGAATGAAAACTCCGTTGTCCATCCTTTCCAGCCAAGTCTATAAGCACAGTAATCATCACACCTACGGAACACCTTGCCAGCAGATTTGCACCTGCCTGTCACATCTCTATATTGTTTGCAAGCCAGGAAGCAAAAGAATAATTTTTTCTTGATGTGGCAATTTGTCTCAGCACTCACACCTGCTTTTCCAGTGAACTTTGTGTTTCTGCCTACCAGCTCTCCTCTCCCTCCCAGCTCCAGCCACATATCCTCCTGGAGCTTTATTCCATCTACAGTATGTGCTCTCCTCACAGCCATCAGCTTTTCTTCCTTCCCACCTTTCTGAAGGAAACACACTTTAATTATCTGTCCTAGAGCAGCTGGTTGAGGAAGAGCAGTCTCTTTGCACACCTGGTGATGCTTACAGCCACAAGACATGTGGTCTTCAGAAAGCATCCCCTGCCAAAGCAAAGCACCTCTGTCTGTATACGACAGCCTGCTTTCCCTTTGGCAACAGGAAAATAAGGCTGACGTGAGAGAAAGGATATGGAGGAGGGCAGATCTTCCCACCAACACAACCCTGGTGGTGGTAGAAGATGCTGGGCAGGACACAGGATTCTGGTCAGCACATGCACACAGCACCATGGGGTGATCCCACCTGGGGAGCACGTTGGAATATCCTGATGCACAGGGCTGCAGCATGGGATGGAGGAGATGGGACACAGAAGAGCTCTGTCAGTGCTATCTCCTCCACCAGGGCAGTTTGAAACTCCAGATGCACCAAATCACGTATCTGCGCCGCAGCCTTCCTCTGTGAGCCCTTAAAATTCTTTAAGGTGATAATTCACACACACCTTAGAGACTGATTTTTCAAGTGTTCGACATCTCCCACTGCGATATTAAAGGCCCTGTTTTCTCAAACGTTCCGTTATTTTGCCACTGACTACTTTCAAAATTAGGAAAGGCTAAGAGCGAGCTCCCGTTCCTGCAAACTGAAACGCTTCCACTGACTGTAACAGGATTTGAATCGATCCCTGAGCTTTGTGCTGCACTTCCCCTTCCACAGAGCAGCGGTGACAGCATTCCCTGCCTCTTTTCTTACTCCTCTGTCTGGACTGCAGGCCCTCAAGGGCAGGGAGCTCACATCTATACAGCACCTTGCACAGGAGGCTGCAGGCTCCTCAGGGCTCCGTGCCGTCCTGCAGATAACAGCAGCGATAGGGGAAGTTGAAATGCGCAGCTCAGGGTCATTGCAACTGCTTACAACCTCCCATTTTATGTGCTGCTTCAATATCTGCTGTAATCTTTGAAATTACTTATGTGGGAGTTGACATAGAAGAAGAGATTGTTGGATTGATATTCTGTTTGGCAATGATGAAAACCTTTTTAAGAAATACCACCTTAATCCAGCACCCACAGAAGCAATTTGCTAATCTCTTTGCTGACTTAGCTTCCATCAGTCATATTACCACAACCAACCATATTGCCTGGCCAACCATATTATATTCTTCCTAGGCAGAGAAAAAACGTCCTTCCTGACCCCAGAAGATGGTCAGCCTTTGCTTTGAAGCATGACATCTGATTACCATTGCCCTAGATTGCAGAGCTGCAAATGCTATTAATTGCTACAAAGTTGTGTAGACCCTTTACACTTCAAATCCACCCAGACTTTCATCTCAGAGACATCCTGCAGCAGGGAATTGTGTAGCCTCACTATGGGCTGAAGAAAGGACTATTTCCTTTTAATTTGCCTTAAAAGTTGTGCCCTTTAATTTTGATGTGTCCCTTGTTCTTGTATCATCAAAGCATTAAAATGTTTCTCATCACTTTTCTCTCTAACCTTCAGATACTTTTGTGCTGGAACCCAAACGTACCTCCTTACTCCTAAGCTTTCCCAGACTAAATAAACTATTCTTTCCAGTCTTTCCTCATTTAACTTGTTAATATTTGTAAAGCAATTTAAAATATATTAATACAGTTCAATTATAATATCGTTTCTATTTTTCATCCTCCCTTTTAATGTCTCAAGTATCCATTTAATTTGCCATCAATCTCCATTGATTCTCCTTCTGATGATATGTTAGTCTTTATAATATCCTGGGGAATATTTCTTCTGCCTTCCTGACCAGCATTTTGGAACAAAGAAACTGAACTCCATCGGATCATAAACATGATTCACTCTGCACTCCACACGCGTATGGATTTGCAGTTGCTTAGACTTTGATCTTGGAATCAGATTTCATTATGCCCATGGTAATTGGAAATGTGTCTGTGTGATTCAGGCTGCAGGATCAGGCCCTCTGCAGACATGATGGCTCTGGGTTGGTGACAGTTCAGCACATATTTAAAAGCCCTATGTTCAGTATTCTTTGAGCAATAATTAAGCCCTCAGTAATGTATTCTGCAGAATTCTGCATGTCATGGATGTGATCTGATGTCTGTCCAGCCACAAACAGGGCAGGGATGGTGAATGAAAAATGGTTATTCACTCCTTCCCATCCTACAGAAAAGTTGGAGGTACCCAAGGAAATTATGTGGTGGCTGATATATATATATATTGAAAAAAAAATAAATAAAAATTGAAATTTTTTTGCACACAACCTGTAACTATTTCCTTTACTGCAGGATGCTGTGAAAACCAAAAGCACAACAGCCGCACTCACAAGAGCTGGGCTCCCACTGACACCGCATGCAGCTGTCGTGAGACAACTGGTGACTTCACACATCCCCAGCCAGATGCACACAGCACTCCTCCAGGCTTCCCCAGTCCCTTCAGGGCCCACCACTCACCCATGGGACACAAAGCCATCGCTAAATCGACCCTTCACTTCACCCAGGGTGGCAGCTCTCATAGCTCCTTCACTGTCGTCCCATCTCAGTCTCTTAATTGAGGGCCTTCCATTGGCCTCTGATGTTTTTTTTTTATACTTCTTGGAGCATCCTGTATTTATTTTTCCCATTCTCTAAAGATACTCTGTTCCAGCAATTCCAACAAATGTTGCTTCCTCCCACTGTTTTGGTGAGACCATTTCCGAGCTGCTCTCATTTTTAATGCAGTCTGACCCAGCTCCATTGCCAAAATGCACCACTCCTTCCTCCATTTCACTGCCTTACATCCTGAGCAGCACGTTCACTTCTGATCGTTACATTTTACCATTAACTTTCCTCCTGGAAAAGTAAAGAAGACTACTGATACATCTATCTATAAATGCAATATATAAATATATATATTTATAAGAACCCAAATTTCAGCTAATAGGCTTCTTTTAGCCAGCACGACATAAATATTGACGTAGAATCCTAACTGGTGGCTTTTCCCTGCCTGCTTACATTCAGCTCACTGGCCTAAAATACAGTGCAGTAACCCACCCTCATTTTCAAATACTTTATAGTTCTCTTCGGGAGAATGGAAATGGCAGATAAACACATTTATCAGCATTCTCAGACATAAAACAGTGAAGCCTGGAGTTGTTTTGCAGAAACAACTCTGAATTTGGACGGCATGACATAAGCAATTCTAGAAATAGCTGCTGGTCTTAAGGCTACATTACATGTGTCCCCATTGCTGCTTTCTGCCCGTTCATGGTTTCAGTACAAACAATATGTTGTCTTTGTTAATTCTCTCCCTGGATTTCCTCAGCATTTCTCAAGCGTTCTTCAGTCTCACCTCGTGTCTCATCATCTCTCCCTGCTCCCTTCCAACATGCAGCTGATTTTGACTGCAAGTCTCCCCCCGCACTGAGCAGTGCAAGAAATGCCTGGATAACTCTACCATCCTCATACTGTAGGCAAGGAGGTGACCCGAGCCAGGAGGGACCTAAAGCCACATATGCATCCCAGCATATGTCTGAGGCTTTTGCTACCCGCTCACCATCTGTACCTGCCTGAAGAGCAGTCACATGCAGAAAGCAGTCAGGCTGCTCCAGCACTCAGAGCCTGCCTGGCTGCTGTGTATTCCACCCATCCCAGAAGTCCAGCTAGAGATTCACACCTGCTTGTCTTGGTTTTTCTGCTTGTCCTGATGCACTGGTTTCCTCCCCCAGGGTCACAGTTCAGTTCCTTCTGTCCTTCCATGGTTAGTTTTAGCTTCTTTGCACTTTTCTAACTACTGCTCTGAACAAACATCTTTTATTTATTCTCCTGGTCCTGGCAGCACGTCTGGAATGTATTGCTTACACCAGGCAATGGTTCTAAAGCTTGCCCTCCCCGTCTTCCATGCTGCTGAGCAAGTCAGCTCCCACAACTGCAAGGATAAATTATCACAAAGGTCTCCAGTGTTTGCAGTGTATCTGACAACCTCATACATTGCTCCAGCAGGTAAAGAGATGGCTAAATGGGATCAGTTGTGCCGACTCAGTACTTCTGGCCAAAACTGCATCCAAAACCATGACGGACACGGCGGAATCCAAAAAGCAGGCCAGGTTCTACATCACACTCTAAATCAAAGATAGGGATCCTCACTCACCACGAAGCCAGTTAACTCCCCCAGTTTCAGCAGACTGTGCTGACTTACAGCAAGCTTTTCACAGGTACTCACTGTGCATTTCAGCTGCAATATGCATAGATACAAAAGTCCCAGCTACAGGAACACCTGCCATAAGGCTCCAGGTTTTTTCTTCTATAAACATGGTCAAAGAGCACGCTTCCTCTCAGGAGAGCCACAAGACAGGTCACAAGCATGAAGGGACTGCAAGAACCAGAGCTACTCTGTGGTCTTAAGTCCCCTTATTCTGCTGGAAATCATGCAAAATGAGAGAGCAGAGGGAAATGTGAGAGCTCCCTTTGCTCCCATGCTGTGTTTTCATTTCCAACAAAATGCCCTGGAGCAAATTTTTTTCTTTCTTTTTTTTTTTTTTTTTTTTTTTGGAGATGCCCTTGTGTGTGAGAACATCTTATAGCTTGGTTTGCAAGGTTTTGCTTCAATGCTTGGTATGTATCAGCACAGAGCTGGCTTTGTTGTGATTTGTTAACCTGGGAGAGGAAGGATGTCACTGTGATGGTTTTATTCTATTCAAAAGTGCTCACTGCTAATGCACACAGAAAAAAAATTGTAGGGATTGAAAGCTGCACTGGTGCTCCTGGCATTTGAGCTACTTCTTGCCAGCATTTCTATCACTAACACCAGCATTTCTATCACTAACACCAACACTGCACAATGACAGTGCGTCTGGCAAAGGCTGCTCACCCTGTCCTCCTCTGGAGGCCACCATTTGAAGAAGTCTCTTTAGATTCTTTGCTCTGCTCAGCTGCTGCAGCTTCAACTTACTGCTGTTCCCACTGCCACTGTAAGGGCTGAACCATCAGCAGCACAACGGCACAGGAGGGGGAAATGGTGTGAGTGAGAGCATTGCAGCTCATTGTGTCAACACCCAGAGATGTGCCATCATCAGAGTGGGGGGGCTAAGTGGGATCCATGGGGATCCAGCACCAAGCTGGCCTGGCGGGGGCCATGGCAACAGTGCTGAGAGTAGGTAAGCTATGCCTTGTAGGCAACTGTAAGATGGATGTAGAGCACATGACTTCAGAAAAACAAACAGAAAAAATAAGTAAGCATCTTTTTCTCTCTCTCCTGTGATGCTGCTCACGGCCCTTCCTGCCTCCAGGCTATAAGCAAACAGCTCACCGTGCACAGGTCTGCAAAGGTGTGGACTTGTTGCATCCCCAGCCCAAGCATTGAGGGAACCCAAGGCCTGACACTGAGCTTCTTTCCAAAGGGACATGTTCATGTCACCTTCACTTAGGATCTGAACCAGCATCCCCGAAGAAAACTTCAGTCTTTCAATTTTCTCCATCTCATTCTGCATCCGCTGTCTTACTTCTGCTCCTTCTTGCACCCCTCCCATCCACTCCTAGCAATTTTTCTTCCCTGCAATGGAACAGCTCAGCTCATCACGCCAGCGCAGCTGTCCCATGCCTACTCTCAAACCCAGGTGAACATCACCTCATTCATCGAGTCCTTGCCCATGCTTGACTCCTTCTGGACAGCCAAACCCAGCAGCCATACTCCATTTCCCATTCCCACACTGATCACAGGCTGCAGCCTCATCACATCAAGCTCTGCACCTCTGCGTGGCAACACCGAGCTGCACGGCGAGCAGGGAAAAATCCAGAGCACTTTGTGCTGCCCCACAGAGCTGAGATGCTCTGCCCCATCCCAGCCCCACAGGGCAGCCATCAGAGCAGGACTGTGCGTCTACCAGAAGCCCTTTCCCTCCATGCATGGATGTCCTCCCTGGGAGGAAATGGGCCAAGGTCCTTACAGTTGTTAACAATCTCGTGGTAGTTTTACAAGAGGAACGGCGTAAATCAAACCGTAGGACACCAGCTACCCAACTCTGGGTAATTTATATTCTGCCTCACTAAGTTCATCTCTGCACTTTCAATGCGTGAAGTGATTTTTCACTTCCCCTGTAGTATTTGCTGGCACGGAGAAGCTGCTGGGCTCTGTCCCAGAAGTAGCTGCATTTCATCACCGGGTAAAGGATTCCTGCATGCACGGGGCCAGATCCTCAGCAGGAATCCTGCACCCGCCAGAATCAGGCCCAAACTCATTCAGCTGCACCTGGCTCCTCGGAGAAGAGAGCCCTGTTGTTACTTATCGCTTCCCCCACCCTCGCCCCCAAGTTATTAGCAGCCCTTGGCTCCCTCGCACTCCGGGCAGGGAGAGGCACTACGCCCTACTCGGCTCCGCTCGGCCCGGCTCGGCTCCGTTCGGCCCCACTCGGTTCCGCTCGGCTCCGCGCCCGACCGCTGCGTGGAACCACAGCGCCCCCTCCTGGGCGAAAGCAGCGCCGCCAGCCCCGCGGCCGCGGAACGGCTCCGCACGGGCGCAGCGGGACGCGGAGCTGCACGGCGGCGGATGGAACTCTGCCGCCAAGGTAACACGAGAGAGGTCCCTGCGTGGTGCTCAGTCCAGGAGCGGCATGCCGTGGGTTTTATAGCCGTTTCCTGAGCTTTGGTAATGCTAATTTTGTTTTTTTGGGGGGGCAGAAGGAGTAAACCTCCCTGCATCAGCTGCTCCACACCCTGATGGAGTCCAAAAATCCACATCCAGCTCGGAAGGTGGGCAGGGAGATTATATGGAAGGGGCTTGGCTGGTGCTGGTTTGTGCAGCCCTTTCCCGAGCAGTGCTCAGAGCAGGCACTGAGGCTGTGCCCGAGCAGAACAGGAGGCTCTGAGATTTTTCTGCTGCACAGACAGCAGCAGTCAGAGCTCCACGGAAGCGTGCAGCGTCAGCCTCACGCATACCTCCAGTGTAGTAAACAGAGCAGGTGAGGAGGGAACAGGGCTACACACTCCGTCAGGATTCTGTGTTCATCTCCTTCGGGACACCCTTTTACCTACAGCACACCTTTTCACCCTGTTTTCCTCCTCTCCAAAGTTTCACCATAGACTTCAGTTGGCCTCATCGCAATCCTGCTTTGGGAGAACAGCACAGCTTCCTTCCTAGGCCCTACAGAAAGGGGAGGAAGGTCAGAAGGGAATGCTGCTTAAATACCTCTAATGCACTGACATCACCTCCACCGTGTGCACTGTGCCTGCTCTGATTGGGGGGGCTTGCAAAGGCAGATTTGTGTTTGCGCTCTACGGATGGGAATTGCTCTGAACCTGGGTGAGACTGAAGCAGAGTCTGCACTGTGCGCATTCAGCTATAGATTCACGTGTGGTTTTGCTCACAGATAGAAAAAGCAATGCGACTCCAGCAGAGCTCTTCACATTCTCACAGAGTGGTCCTTGAACTGAGAGGGAATGACGGCTGTGGGATTGCCACTGCTCTCCCAAGCCATTCCCTGGTCCCTGGCTGCTGCTCTGCTCTTTCAGCAGTGAAATCAGTGCTGAGTTCCTGGGAACA